GATTAAAAATATCACAAGTACTCGCGTGTTTCTCGGTTGAGACGGGTGTAGCAAGGGCAGTAGCTGTAACGCGAACATTCCGGAACTTCCTGCTACGTTCCACTAGCCCGACAAGGTTCTTTTGGTTGTTGGCAACAGGGAGGACTCGACATTCTTCGGAAATGCGGATACGATGGCGCAAAAGCATGAGTTTTCTTCCAGCCGCTGACTGACTTGCTGATTTTCCGTTTAGTACTAGCGGGAGTACTGCTGTTCTTTTCCATTTCCCCGATGTTTTTTGCTTTACAGGAGCAAGGGTATCTAGACATCTAATGATCTTCTGATGGGACATTTCAGCTGCTATTGCAGGGTTGCATGTACGAAACAAGGAATCCCATTGATTCGATGTTAGTAGTGATGCGAGTATTTCCCAGTTAATCAAGCGATATGACCGTTCAGACATGTCGGCAAATTCGGTCCTACGCACTCTTGCGAGTAACCTGATGCTGAATGCCACAACGTTATGATCGCTACTCGGAAGACTATTCAACATAATGACCTTTCCATTTGACATGCCCAAGGTAATGATTAGGTCAAGAATGCTACTATACCTTGTCGGATATAGAACATGTCAAACCCAACATTGTGAGCAGATACTAGAGACAAATTCAAGACAGTCGGTATGTTGAGATGTAAGTTTATGTGAAATCAACTCCAACTAAATTATAGTTGTCTGCGCGCTTCGAGATTTAGTCAAATATTTCAGTAAACCCTCTAATACTGATGTTGCTGCAGTGTGGCGGTTTGCAGACACATCCGATGAGAAAGTTTCAACTTTTCATCATTGCTGTAATCCATACGGAGTCAACGAAGTTTCAAGCTTTGTTTCAGTCATAGGTGACAAATGGGTCCTTTCATCAATATAAATTGTGCAATCTCCTCCCCAACCACTGCAACGACCGCTTGAGTAGCTGTGATATCCTAGGATGCGGTAGTGGGGCTCAAGCGTCTGATCGTTGAATCACGTTTCTGTGGTCGTAATAACCTGGAGGTTCGATAGATGTACACTTTGACGAAGAAGTGCATCTTATTCTTAAGAGAGAAGACGTTAATAAGAAACATTGTAACACTTTCGTGTGAGTTAAGTTAATCTATAATTTCAAAGTTGGATTTTGAGAATCCGCTGTGTAGTTGGGTTGTTACAAGCCACTTCTATTGAGATCTCGGTTCACTTCAAGTGGACCTCGGTCATTCCGATCACAAGGACTGTATGTGTAATTGAAATATTTAGGTGTTACTCATCCCAACACTGTTAGGTTGAGCAACACCTGAATATTTGAGTTTCACATAAATCTATGATTTATTTAAATATAGAGAGTTCAAAAGCGTTAGAGCTGGGGCAGGAAGCCACATCGGTGGAAATGATTGTTGGAGCTCCGCTACTCTCGAATTCCGCAGAACAAATTAGGTAAATTGGTAACTGAGACCCATGGTGCTCTGAAGCAGTTGCAGCTCCCTTGTCGGCGGAAAGTGTGCCGCCGGTTAACCTAGAAAATGGTTCGGTACATTTGGACTTGGCTGTTAAAGTCTTTCAGTGGAGCCGTGGACTCAAATGAATCATAGTCGTGATATAGTTGGTAGAATGTGTACTGAAGGAGAACTAGTTGGGTAGATAGAAGCATCATTGCATCTGTAGCCATTGTTATCGCTAGGAGGATTCTAAGTATGGCATCGTACAGCAATACTCGGTGGTCGTTCGTTTCCTCTGTAACCATAGGCCCTTGGTTCACCGTCAGTGCTTCAGGCAGTTCGGTTAGTAACTTTATGGGAGGACTCTGTTCTTATGCTTTGATAGAATATATGAGCTTTACCACCACTGGGAATATAAGCTTTCACATACGAGTTGAGCTTATGCTCAGGACATGACCCTTCAACAAGGACTGTAAATATTAGGGAAATATGAAGGTCAAAGCTGTTTTTATCTTCGAATAAGGCTTCTGAAATTTGATAGTTTCTGATGGCAGATTTTTTTAGGAGAATCTATACATCGGTTGAGATGATTGGCACTGCATGCACACATCCTTTGGTTTGGTGGTGGGCTGTAAAAGTGGACAATATTGCGATCAGCGGTCGGGGGTCTCGGTGAATAAAACATCAGTCTTTGCCTGTTTCTTTATTCATTTGGTTTACACGAAATGGCTTTTTGCACCGTCATTAGTTTGCTGTCTTTGCGTTTTCGCTCTGGCAACTCTGGAATTTGGAAATGTGATCTTGGTCGCAGCAGCTTGATGTGTCCCTGTGTTGAGTGATGCGGTTGACGAATCATTGAAGCTAGTAGCTGAGTTATCTGCATCTAAAATACTTTGCATAATCCGGCCCATAGCCTTAAGGACCACAAGCCTGCTTCGTAATCCGAGGGCGCGAGTTCGAGTCTACGTAGGAACCGGGCGACCCTCGCCGTATCCTTAGTCCAGACGCGACTGCTGGTGGTTGCGCGGCAGCGATGCGTTGGTACTGCGTACCGGCGTACTGCTGCTGCCTATTTTGAAGACTGCTGGTTCTAGGCGGATGCGGAGCTCAGAAGGAGTATCAGTGGTCGTAGGTATAGCATTATCCGAACTACTGAGGGGATATTCGTTTTCTATTTGAAGACAACTGTCCCAGTATCCGCTAGGTTTCCCTTTAAAGCTGCGCTTTGTCTATCACGATCTTAAGTTCTCTGAAGTTAGTCGTTTTTCGCGATTTGGTCACGACTTTTACCGAACTCACTCACAGTCAGTGCATCGTTAAACTGAGAGAGCACGGGACAGCTGTGGTGTGTTTTCCATATTGCATGCTTTGAGCAAGATGTTATTGGAATTTTCCGGTATGTTGTAGACCAATACATTCTTTGAACACCGAATCCTGTTACAAATTGCCACTTATATTGCGTCGATGAATTCACCAGCGGCTTGCCGAACAACCTCCTCGTGGTGCCAGCTGGGTGGTTCGGGATTTTCCCGTTCCAGCGAATGCTTCGGCGACAGTGTTCCAGGACGTGATGGGTTTTTCGCCTGGCAAGCGTTCTCCCTATAAAAAGCCACATATGTCCGTTTAACAACACTGTGACGTGGCGGACGTGACTCGCCACTAAGTGAAGTCACTGCTCCTTGCTTCATCCTAGCGAAGCGTTGTATCACAGCAACGTTATGCTGTACTTCTGTGGTGCATTGGGCCCCTGTTTGACAAAGGAACAAACGAAAGGCGTATGAACTGAGCAGTCAGTCACCGGCTCCCAATGGGCGCGATTCCCTGAATTCGCTCCGCTGCCTTGCGGGCAGGCTATTCAGCCAAAGGCTCAGGGTGTGTCCACTAAGTCAACACCCTACTTCGGCTTGGGCAACCGGGTAGTATCTCGCCCTCTGACGAAACCATGGACATAGTTGTGTTGTGTTGTGTTTTCTTTTACTATTCCTGTACCTTCTTTTGAATCCCATGGTTTCTGATGGCTTTATGTCTATTCGTAGACCGTTGCATTATATATATATATATATATATATATATATATATATATATATATATATATATATATATATATATATATATAGGTTGTCTATTAATGGGGTCGCTAACTCGTGTGTTAGAGCTTTCAACGGCACATTTTCATTGCAGTCAGTTTCCGTATGGGCGTATGATGCCAATTTTGTTTCTATTTAATTTAGCTCCTCCTGGATGGATTGAAAATTAGCAGCTTCGTTAGATAAAGGAGCAACCTAAATATTTGCACAATTTTTCAGTACATTCGGCTTTCTACTTGGAAGTAACAGTGACATTATTAGACAACACACGAGAATGTCTAGCGGACATCATAGATTTCTCCGAAGAAAGTTTCAGGCAGATAAAATGGAAAAATGTATATGGGAGCCTGTTTGTAACTAGGCCGAAAAAAACAAAGTAAGTGAAGTTGCTGGTAGAGATGGTTCAGACACGAGCTAATTTTATTATACCGCTTATTGGTAGCTGACATGTGTTATGGAAAGAAATGAGGCGGAAGCGCACGGTTTCAAATGCGCGCACGTGGATACGACCTAGAATAATGACCGAATAATCAGCAGTAGTGTGTGACGGACGAGGATTAAGAGGTCCAGCTATGCGTACCTAGGAACAGACATAAATGCTAGTAATGAAGCTGGGGAAAAGAAGGAAAATGGCGCAATTTCTAACTCAAGACGAAGGAGAAACTGCAACGTGAATAAGGCTGGCAAACCACTTAAAATTGCTTGAATTAGTCAAAAAGTAGAGGACACAAAAGGCAGTGTTCCACCAGTCTGTATTTCAAATGGACATAGAGATGGTCATTTTATAACATTCTTAGTATAAAAACATCTTCAAGGGACAGTTAGAATCTGGACAATAGCTTATTGCACTAGTTTTTCTTTGAATTATCGTGATCACCATATTTTTGTTTCAGTGAACGCTTTTTACAATTTTGTAAATAAGGGTTCTGTTTCCTGCCGTAACTACCAACGGTTAGGTGTAAGGGCCAGCGTATATACTTATTAAGTGGTTTGTGACCATATGTACCCACATATTTCACTTTGAAAACCGTTCATTCATCAGAAACGTCAGCTTTTACAATTTCTGTTCATTGCAACGGAGCACTTATTCGCTTCTACACGGTAAATTGAGTTTTCTTATTTAACTGCATACTGAGCCATTTTAATGGTCCAAGTTCCATAAAGTAACATAAATAATTTTTTACTGCAATTAAAGTAACATAAAACGGTGATATGCAAATGGAATTCTACTATCGTCCACCAATCATTTTTTTGAATTTTCGCGCTACCAACTGGTGGAATCCTACCGACACAACCCACCGTTTTGATTTTTCGCGCGTTCTGTCAGAATACGCAATGCATGCTCATTTCGAGACATTCACGAAAATGGCTGTGCATACTTCCTCGGTTCTGCTTTCTTCCATTATATCAAGCTGATCAACTGAGAGCCATTATATTGTCGAACGTGCGTTTCACCCTATCCAGTTTCAGAGCCACCATACATTTTGGCTGTTGCACAGTCAGATTTTTCCGGTTCCACTCGACGTGAGCTGTCCTTTCAGCAGGGTGATGAATTACATTTGTACCGAAAGCTCAACGATCATTGGTGGGATGGCCAATTGGCTTCGGACCCCGCAGGTGTCCGTGGTCTCGTGCCACATTTATATGTGACCCCCAAAACTGCCATTTCGACTTATTTGAACGACACCACTGAAGATGAGCAGCTCGATGACGGTCAACTCGGACATCTGAATCATAATTCCGCTGATAATGAAGGATCGAAAGAAAGTGTGATGGACGACGACGAGGAGGAAGAAGAGGGAGCGGATGATGACGACGATCGATCTGCCGATGAACCTGTCGGTTCTGGGGAAATCTTCGCTGCAGACAAGATTGATGTGCATGGTCGTCCATCACCATGCGACTCTCCCCAATCGTCCCACGTAAAGCCTTCTCGCGACATCTCTGTGACACATGTGCGATCCCAACCGGATGCCTCTTTATCAGAATCCTTCCCTCGTGGTGAGTTTTCTTGCCTATAACCCGATTCGTCGCCATCTTAACTTACACTGCGATGTGCGTGTCACAGCCTTCGATCACACTGTGTTTAGCCTACTTCAATAAATGATGTTTAGGCACACATCGCCATAGACGGGATAGTGCATTTGGACCCCGGTAATCTGTCGAACTCATGACAGATTTGATGGCTTATACTAGCTGCTCTTGCAGACCTCAACTTACAGCAATATCTGACTTTGCCCATGGAACTTGCCTCACAATAAAATTTAAATTACATTTCCTCTAGCTCCTCAACACATTACTTCTTTCCATGTTACCATATTGCCACATGGTGTGTCATCAGTTTGGTGACGCATCTTTTTCCTGATATTGCTCCATTTTATCAACTTTTTATAAGGCACAATAGCAATGGTGATTACTCAACTTACCAAGGAAATAAAAAAATCATTGATACAGAATCAAATGATGCTAACCCAGGTTGTTCATTTATTGGTCCAACTGTTCGCAGACAATTTTGTTACAAACGTTTCGTCGCCAATCGAGGTGACATAGTCAGTGCGCTTGTGGCATCACCCCGATTGATGATATAACATTCACAAGATCAACCCAACTTTTCGAGCAACAAGGAAAAAGTAGTGCTGCAACTGTGTCTCTAGAGGGCGAGCATTGCGCGAACTGGTTGGCTTTGTAAAATTCGCCTGATTTTTCAGTTTCAAATCTCGCGGAACGTTGAGGCTACGGAGGGAAATGTATTAACAGTGTCAGCTTGAAGCGTATTCCAACCGTTCTGGCAGAACCAAGATACCTTACTTTATGCAATAGTCACATCAAACCATTAAGGTCAATCTCGGATAACCAATGGGACCATTTGCAACGGAATTGCTAGTCCCGGAACGAACAATCAATAATGTCCTCAATGAAGACGATCTTGTGTGGTGAGCAGCGGAAACAAAAATCTAACCAATCCAGAGGGTTCTTGAACAAACAAAGATCCAGCAACATGTGTGATGATTTTTCTCACATGCGTAAACCTTAATCGAATGCTAAGTAGGGAGCAGACGAAGTGCAAAATGTTTATACAAAGACCCTTCTGTGTTTCCAGCAGTCCCGCGCACAATTTTCCTGCGACTGTCATGGTTCTCCAAGTTGTGTGCAATGAAGCTCGCGTGACGCTCCCTCTTTCTATTGCGTTAGCGCTGATACCCATATTGACGTTCTGACATCGGACCAAGCACCCAGATTGGCAGCGCACGAAATAGATGGCCTTGTGTACTTCACTGTGTTTTCACATCCTCATATAAAGGCCGAGTACCAGGAGAACGAATGGTTCAAAATTTTAGGACCACATAACCCATAATATTTGACCCACGGCTTACCTAAACCTCAATTCGTTGAATCACTACGTGTATGGCATTGACGGGAGGAGGGGATGCATTTCCTCATAGAGCCATAACTTCGAGATCTGTCTTACTTGTGTTACAACTATTGTGAACCGGAACCGTCGATTCCAAGCACGTTAAGACTATCCTTTCGGTTTTCAATGCATTATCGCTCTCACACCATTTCTCTTCCCCCTTAGCCTCTGGTGACATGCAGGATGGCGCTAATTTGGCCTCCACCATGTCAGCAAATGCATTGGAGGATGGGGACTACCCTTCAGCTCTTCCCCGCAGGCAGATGCTCAGTGCCGCTGTTACACCGACTTCATCGGCGCCAGTCACACTTCGGTCTCCTAGCGTGCGTCACGTACTCAACCTCCCATCCCGTTCCCTTGGCGCAGTGCCGGAGAACGAAGCAGCTACCACCGGGTACTCCACACTGCAGGCCTCTCCTCCGCACAAGTCAACACCGAGTGGAGATGGCGATTCCCATGTCCGTTTCTTCTCAAACGCGGATATCGACAACCAGCTCGCTGAGGTGAGTCATACGTTACTCATCCCATACTTTCTTCTATACAATTCAGCACGTTAGATGGCATACAAGAACAGAGGACAAAGTGCTTCTATCTTGCTGCGGACATTGTAAATAAACGGGAGACACCACATTTCTCCCGTTTGTGCATGACATGCGCTAGTCCCTATCTGTTTTCAGTTACAAGCTTCTGCACATGATTTAGGTACGCACACTCAATTGTGCTGTTTGGCCCCTAACGCATTTCATTATGAATCAACCGCTATATATTGATGAGACCCGCATATCACAATGGATGGGCCACCCAACTTGAACTATATTGCAGCTGCTTCGAGTCTCCATGCAAGCAGTTTTCTGCAACTGTAGTGGAATCCGCGTTAGTGAGAGTGCACCATCTCAACTCCCTACTTCTTCATCCGTTTAATGATTTCAGTTTTTGGACATGCATTTTGAGTCATTCAAGTCTCCTACCAATGCTTTTTGAACAGTAATCTGTCCTAACTACTTATGACATCATAACTTATCTGTGTTTCAAGTCTGACTGTCCACTGCGTCTTCTGCATCGCGGGCTGTTCGGGACCTTGAAGGGTTTGTTGGGTTTCACCATAGCTAACTATCCAATTGCAACGGCTGTTGGAACCACTCCGTGTTTTTTGGTCTTAGCCTTAGCTCGCAAGATTTGGATCATAGTCCCCAGTTCCTCCACCGAATCGTAGGAACACTTTCTGATGATAATTACCATTAGGGGCAACATTGTGTCTAGCGATTTTTTGAACAACCGTGTGTTTGCTTCAATTCGAAACAGGCTCCATTCTAAACTCGTGTGAACTTCTTTTCCACTCTTATTGGTTGTTTGATTGTTTCATCTTGGAACCTTCGATGCACCATATGGCCTGCGGGTACTGTCAGAATGTGCGACTAACTACCGTCTCCATACAACCGCTGTTAGGTCATCCATGCTGTTCTCACGTGCCATGAGGTGCTACTGTAAGTTCGGCTTCAAGTTCTCTAGACCGCGTGTGAGGACTCCACTTATTGTGCTTATTAATTCACATGTTCCCCATATCTATGCATCGGCGCGCTTATCGGAAGTGCGGCTTGCCTCGCGACACTTCCAGCTGTTGAGGTGATAATTTATGTATGAATTGGCCAGGATACCGAGTCTTCTTGACAAGCTTCGTTCCCCATAACTGGGGTCCACCTTAGTTAAATGGGCTAGTCAGGAATGGATCATCCAATTGGCCGGCGTGGCACTTCTTTTCAAATGTACTTTCATCTGGTCTTCCTTCTCGCTAAGCGTACAAGTCTGATTACTGCGAGTAACTCACGTGTTGCAAATCCCCGCCGTATTGTCTCTCTCTATGTCGACACATCTGACACCAGAAGGGAATTTCTCTTGGTGTCGCGAGCCGTTTTCACAGCTACAGTGGTATCTGTTGTCTCTGGTCCCTTTAATCTTGAGTGTCCTCTGTTGTTTAACCGTTATCACTTGGTCAAGAGGCAACACCGACTCCCCATCTTTTGACCCTAGTTACCGCAAACAGCTTGTAACCGGTACCGTTCGTGTGCCTGCTGCCGACTGCTGGCTGGATTCCTCGTTTGGTGGGTGTGTTCTGAATAGTCCAAGAGATCAGGTCGATTTTTACTCGAAACTGAAATTCGCTAAGCAGCTGTTCGGCCTACTTCATATTCTTTTACATTGATAGCCATTTATTTGGGACAATTTACTTTCGCTGTATGTGCTCGCTTCGACATAAGCCATTTGCTTAAATAATTTGGATTCTACTATATCTGCCCCTTCTTTTCCACACATTTCCATGTAAATACGTGGTGTACAAAAACTTCACTCACTGACGAATGAACGCATGTCAGTTTTGACATGATACGAATGTTTGCTGCTTCATGGCGAACGAATTCAGTTCACTTCGATTTCAGTTGGTCCACTTTGATCTCTGCATCAAAATGCGGTGAATTTAGTTGGATTGACGTAGGGTGCCAAATAATATACATGGTACGCCTGAAAAGTCCGGCGAATGCTCTCCGAAAATAAAGGCAGCAAGTTGCTAACGAAATGTCTTTACCATTAGCTACATCATACTTCTGACATCTGTTGTAAAACTGTTGGAAGCTGTCAGCAAACGCTTTTTGTGGAACTTCTCGAAGCCCCTTGGTCACGCGTTGTTGGATATCCGCGACGTATGTGAAACCTAAGCCTTTCAGGGTTAATTTAATTCTGTGAGACAAATAGAAGCCTGTCGGCGCCAAATCTGGCGAATAAGGAGGGTGTTAAAGGACAGTCGTCTTTCCTTAAGCAAGAAAGTTTCACAGTTTCCGGACAGGCGTCGCCATGTCCACTCGAGTACAGTTCTCGCCAAACCCGTCGGGTGGGTTGCAGCAGCCGTTTCAAAACATAGATCTCCACGTTGACAATTTGACCCTCGGGTAGAAATTCCTGATGGAGCATACCCCTGCAGTCGAAAAAGGCGAGCAACATCGCCTTAATCTCGGATTCTTTCAGTCGACTTTTTTGTGAGGCGAAAAAGACGATGACAACCAGGCCATTGACTGTCGTTTGGTCTCCGGATCGTATTGGTGGCACCAAGTCTCATATCCTTTAGTGATGGTTTCTAAAAACTGCGGATTCCGCTCAGGCTTGTAGATGAAATCTCAGTTATTTCCATCCGAGTCTGCTCCTGTCCGTCTATCTTCGTGAGCAGTACAAAGCGCTTTTTCATTCCTCGTTGACAATACTGCCCACACTGTTTTTGGTTATCTTCAGCTCTTTTTCCAACTTAACTACATCTGCTGATAATCCGCAAGCATCCGTCGCACTCGTTCGACATTGTCTGTGATTACGCTTGTTGACAGTCGATCCGAACGCGACTTATCCTTGATACTTCCTCTCCCTCTCTAAAGCATTTAGTTCAGTCACACGTTTTACTCACTGTTTCAACACTGTACACGCACTGACATTTCATGAGTCTTCGCCGTCGTTTTGCGTAATTTGAAGCAAAATGTCATCCCGTTGTCCTATTTCGTGTTCCGTTTCGCAATGACACGACTTCTCATACTGAGTCCGTTACCTTGGTCGCAGCGTCTACCTGTGCTTCACCGGTAATTTGCACAGTAAGGGGGCTTGTTCACATGTCTCTCAAAGCGTATGCGCGATTTTTAACACACGGGACCGTGCACCGAACTTCTCAAATATATCTTATATAATAATCCTAAAGGAAGGGACAGATTAAGGTCCGATGGCATAGGATGGACGGTCCGAAGTGATGGAACTAATGCAACGATGCCACTGACTTCACATAAGGTGTCTAGCCACCAACGTAGTCCCTCCTATGGATCACCCTACATGCAAAGGTTTTCGGTTGATTGTCTTCACGCTCTTTTCCCATGTTATATATAGTCGTCTCATAGTCTCACCGTCCTGAACACGATATTGACGGATGATACACGCCCGAGCAGTCGGCATGCGATGCACATGGCTGAGAAACGAAAGGCGCTTGGACGAATTAGTAAATCCTACGTGGCAGCAGTGATGTATGCTTTTTATCACCACGCCACTGTGTACAGTAGTCACTGGGTTGGGTGGCACAAAGCCGGTTAAATCGCCAATAGCACATAGCATCCGAGTCATTTGGCGACTTGATATTCTGTTCTCATATCCATTGCATGCAGCATGGGATATTCCAGCAATGGCAACCGATAATTGCACTGTATGCAATTATTCCGGCAATTGCAACTTTGTGAAGTTGTTGGGATTTTTTCAGAGAAATGGCAAATACTTACGCTCCCCTGTTTGTTTTTCTTTTTTTCAGTCGAATGACTTAGAATGCACTCCGACCGTTGCCGATGGTGTGTATCCATTGCTGTAAAAACTGCGGCTTTATATCTCAATCAAAGAAAACAGCTGCATCCAGTTCTTTGTAATGTGGGCTGATAACAAAGATATGATAGAACTGCTATTGCGGACTCGGATTGTTTCTGCGTTTCTCTTTCCATCTGTTGTAGGTTTACAGTGAGTACGACTGAGTAATAGCATACTCTCGTGTAGGAATGGAATCTGAAGCTGAGGAATCGGTATGTCCTAACTTATCAGAAACCATGCAGACATGATAAGCGCAGCACAAACATGCAAGTGTTAAGTGCGAGTGAAGGGAGGAGCGCAATATTAATTTATGGAAGCGTCATGGCTCCCAAGAGTGTCTGTGCGCGTTTTTTGCGCTAACGCAATGTGCACCGTCGAGCCAAGTGAAGACCAGGATAGGGAGTAGAGTAGTGACGCACGATCGTATCACAATTGGTGCCTGCTTTTCAAACCTCTTGCTGCATCCATGTTTCTAACTGTGCACGGTAGATCCTCCATACAAGTTACGGGTTGAACGAAAACGAGCCTACGTGTGTTCTCGCCGTGCTTGTTAGTTTCAGTGTATTTTCATTCTTCACATATTCGGCTCTTCTTCGTGTGAAGTTGTTGCTCTCACGTTTCTCATAACGTACAGTTGTACAATGGTGCACATACGGTTGTCCCGCTGCTGGTACTGTTTCTGTTTTCATGTTTTGCTCTTCCCTCCGCAACCCCTTTGGTTTACCGTCCGTAAATATTTTCCTATCCGGACGATTTGGTACATGGCATTTCTATCTTTGTTAGGATCATAGTTATTGCGTCACAGTGCATCTGTTTACGCATTCCTACACGCTCCTCTGGTATTCCCTTCGCACTATACGTTAGCCGTTACTCGCTTGGCTACTTCTTGATCATACTTTGTTTTGACGAGTGTGGCATTTTTACACCTGATAGTTTTGAGAAGTTTGTTATTTTACACACTTGATTTTTCATCGATCACATATGCATCCCACTATTAACCATTCTCTTTGCAGAGACCCGTTAACTTTGTCTAACAGGTCTACAGCTGTAGACATCTGCAGTTCACAAAGGACTGCATATTGCGCATGTATAGCTTTCCTTCCCTCTTCCCATTTTAGTTCATGCGGAATTTGAGCTCCATCGAACAGGCGGACACACAAGAGACCGGTTTGCGCACGCTGGAACGTAATCGCGAGCTACGGCGAAAGTTACAATTGCCTTGTGCAAAGCACACTCCCGATCTTGTTATGGATTTACCGCGGTCCGACGCTTTAACCCCTCCTATCCCTGATGCAGCTGATCCGCAGTCTTCCAATCAGTCTTCATTCGATAGCAGCTCTGCTGATAACTTTGCCGAACAGAGCTTGGACACAATGCGCAAGCGTCCGGAGCCCCGATACACCACCTTTTCTAACCCACCCACCTCTGCAGGCCTACCAACATCACTGACCCCACAGGGTCCCAAATCAGACCAAACAACAGAGGCTCCAGTGCCCAACTCTCGATTCCTTGACGACAGACCGGGTTCTAGTTCTCAGCCGCTAGAGCCGGATACTCGTATTACCCCTATTGCTGCCCGGGTGGCAGCTTTTGAGGCTACTGCATCTCAAAGTGACACATCCTTAGGACGCACCTTTCCTCGCCCACCGTTGGCGCCGAAACCCAGAAGAACTTGACCGCTATGTATGGTCATCATTCTACAGCTGGAGTCTGTCGCCAGGTTGTTGTTTGTCATTGCTGCTTCCTTCGGGGTGTGATCTGACCCTCGTTCATCCTGATCTATCCCGACGCTGTGCCTCACTGTTCCACAGATACCTTCCCCCTAGGTGATCCATTTTTCAGAGCTATCCACTTTGCCTATCTGGTGGCTGATTTATTTTAGGTCACCTCGCTTCCTGTAAGCCCACGTTAACACCCTTTTGCAGCATCTTCATCACTGGTCCTCACTTCCTTCTTCTTTCCCCCCTTGACTTGGTAATTTTATGTGAATAAAATGTTGTTTTTTATACCAAATTACTCATCAGCCTCTGCTTATCCTGTGTGACCATTCCCTTCCATCTCTGCATTAACCTGCCACACACTGTTCTTACACGACCAATGTTTCTTATTTGTTTAACCACCGTTAATATTCTCCACTGCTATTACCATTATTGTCTGTCACTTCTTTTGGATCCTTTCTATAGTATAATCCTGAGTACCGCAGTCAGGAGTTGCGCATTCTATCGTGTGTCCCCCCCCTGTCTCGTAACCGCCACCAAAATCACTCGCTGAACGCGCTGCTTGTTAATTTCGTTCTTCTTTTATGCTTCGCATGTGGGTCATCTCACTGTATCTAATAGAGGCCCCTCCCCCGTTGCTCCTGTGCAATCTGCCCCGCTCAGTCTAACTTGCAGTATTGAAAACCTACTGGAAACCTGGTGTGGAATTAGTAGCCTTGGAGTTTAGACTTATCCTCTACACGACATTGGGAGATATACCAGTTATTAACTTAATTATGGTGGCCGTCTCCGTCATTCATAACTCAGTGGCTAAAACTGCTAACTCGCATGAACTCGGTCGTATGTTCGTCTGTGATGATGGAAACACTCACTCTCCTCTTCATTTTTGTCGCTTTCCTTTTGGCCATCCCACGGGATTTGTGAAGCATTTGCTTTTTTTACCTATAATACACCATAGTTCCATTGACACATGTACGACATAGCGGTGTCTTAATACTCGTTTTTTACATGGTAATGAATTTTGATAGATGAACAACCAAAAATTGCGCGATGGAGATGTGAGCGTGGTGTTTTTGTATCACTCACGGTAATTGTCCGGCACTGTAAGCGTCCAATGGTGCATGAATAAAATGGATTTCAAGCATCATCTCCGCTCACATTAGCGTTCCTTGAACCTGGGATGACTGACAATGCTAGGTTATAGTCATGAGCCGCCCTCAGGCATGCCTATGTAACAAACTGGGACTATGCGTCAATCTTCAACCGACTTAAGGGGACAGAAAATTGAATTTGTCAAGAGCATCGTCAGTACAACCGGTGGTACCAGACGTGATTGGAATGAACTTATTCACAACAATATGAAACAAATTCAGCGTGTGATTGACTGCAACTCAGTGTAGTGCGACAACTCCACGTCATTTTGGCTAGATGATTGTGAATATAGTACAGAGTTGACGATCAGGTCACGGAATCAGGATTGTGGTCCAGAGCACACAACGTATGGATTAAAGCAAAACAAAGGATTGCTGTACTACGTAGTGGTAATCACAGCGTGGGGATCATTAAGCGGGACGAACATCTCACAGAATAGGGCCGTCGGAGTTCGCAAGGTTTTAGGAATGCAGTGGCCTCTCGCACTTCTTCAATATCACAGAGTAGCTCGTTCATCTTTTGGTGTGGAGGTGAGATATGTGATTTCATTGACAATGTTGGATGCAAAGCTAGAGCTGCTTAACTCGCATACACGGATATCGCGCGTTAGTGAACCATCATCTGAGGTCAGCGTTTCAATTTCTTAAGTAGCTGCATCAGTGTGCGTGCCTTTTCAGGATTTTTGAATGCTCGACTTTCTTCAGTAATTTTGGCTGTTTAAGCTAGACGTAGCTGTAATCGAGCCTCATGTATCCGTAGTTCTGTACTGAAGCTGTTGATCCTGTGGTATATTGCTTGCACTTGTTGATTTCAATCGTTGCTGTAAGCCTGGTCCTTTGTACAGACGCATTTATAGCGCGATCACTGAACGCCTACGCAAATGTCTCAATTCAGACCCAACGAACTACTTCGCTATTCACGATTACGTCTTCGGGCAAGTAAAGGTAGCCCAAATTCACTTTAGTGATTACAACACAAGAACCTAAAACCATTTTACTCTACTATACTAACCCCAATTTGGATCTCCTACATGATGCCTATCGCACGCTTATGACATTGAAAGACTAGTCATCTTCGACTGCCGGTGTTCAAAACGCATCGCCTGTACTATATGGAACCACCGAGTGGCGTTTGTTAGATTCCTCACCGGCCACTAATCGCCCTACTCCCTGGACTGTCGCTTTGGATCCACCCTCTCGCTCAAAAGTGCAACTTGGGATCCGAATGCTGGAGTTGAATAAGGCTGCGAAACCAGATGATCATCCGCTAGTCCTCTTCGAATTCAGAGACCTGTTCTTTTGATGATTTACATGGGTTACTAGTGAAACTGTGGGAACAGGAAACTGTCCCAACCGACTGGAGCCGCTCCGTTATTGTCCCGATCTTCAAGGGACGTTCACCTTCGGAATACAGCAACTATAGAGGAATCAATCTGATCTCCATCGTCTCCAAATTGCTTGCCGCTGTAATCATAGATTGTCTGGCACTCGTGGAAGCCAGCTTCGTAAGGAGCAAGCCGAGTTTCATCGAGGTCGGCGCTGCATCGATCATATCTTCACTTTGCGTCAATTGTTGGAGCACCGTCACATATATTGACGGCCCACCGTTACGTGTTCCTCGACATCTCAGGTATCTTTGATTCAGTGGGTCGATGTGCCCTTTGAGACTGTCTACTCAGCAAAGAAAAATGTAAATATTATCCGAACGGTATACGCGCGTAGCTCTGGCAGTGGGATGGCTTACAGAAGGCTGTCACCGCCCTTCATTATCTTCACCGGTGTAAGACAAGGATGCCCGCTGTCACCTTTCCTCTTCAACTTCGCTATTGACGAAATCATGGAGATCGCGCTCACAGGACACAACTTAGAAGGCGTGGAGCTGCTCTCAGCTAAAGCACTTCTTGATTTTGAGTATGCTGACGACATTACGCTCATCTGTGACAGCTCGCAAACGTGCCAAGCTGCACTGCGTAGCTTAGCACGGGCTGTCAGTCGTTTGAGGTTTTAATTTGCACCCTCGAACTACGGAGCTTTCCTCCAAAATTGGCAGGGACCACCTCCTGCGCTGACCCTTGGTGGTAATCAGCTAGAAGTCGTTCAAAAATCCAACTACCTGGGCAGTTGCATCAACGCCGGTGTAATCGAGCACGACGTCACGAACAGTATAGCAAAAGCTTGAGGCGCTTTTGCTAACTTTCGCCACCTATGTTGCCTGCGCGACATCACTCTCGCCCTGAAGGGTAGAGTGTGCAATGCAGCCGTACGTTCGACTTCACCAAGAAAACGTTCGAATGTCTAGATATTACGACAAATATGTTCTAGCGCTTAAATGTGCATACCGGAAGCGATTTTGCATAAGCTAATAACGGGCGAAAGCTAATCGCACAGAATAATGCAGATTCATGTCAACCTCATGAGATGTAACACGAGCCACTTATCTGGTCTTGAACTGGTGTCATATAGTGTCCTATCGATGTTGAGTAACGCAACTAGAGCCGAGTACTTCCTTTGGAGAGGGATGTTATTAAGCGAAAAGGACATGAAAGGAGTTAGTGAGAAGACAGGTGGTAAAAACGAACCTGTGAAGTTATGGTTAAAGGGGCGAGATATAGGTGGCTCCGTTATTTAATGTTAGTTATTACCGGCTCACGATACCGCACTGCACACCTGATTTCCCTCCTTAAGTACCATCATCGCGTAGATAGCGGGAATGTGAGCAGGCGACACCTGGGATACATTTACTTCAAATGCTGGCCCGGTGATTGAATTCGTGAAATTTCACCACAGTTTGGAGGCCCAGATTGAGACTGAAAGTCGCACTCTTAAACAAGCTCTACGCCGCCGTTCACTGTACTAGCGCAAATAAACTCAGAGGTACTATCAGTCTTTAGATCATCTGCCAACTGGAAGTGTTTGTAGTAAATATCGCACAGCTGTATTGAGAATAGTTAAGGACCCTGTACAGCGTCATTCTCCTGGCTTGTGTTCCCTTATATAATGCCTAGCTTTTGAATTCAATGTGCTAGAAGTTAAATTAGGTAGGCAAATGTGTACTGAATCCAAATACGGTTAGCTTAGTTATGGATCGGTCTTGTGACATTCAATCGAATTCACTTTACACATCAAGTCAGACGGCTTATCACTCCTAACCCACGGTATAGCGATCTAAACAGGTATTTGACAAAATCCAAGTGGCATGTTATGTGACAGCTTGCAATAAGCATAAAGTCAGCGGTTTTGACTTGCATGTGTCTCCGACATGGATAGGATATAAACTTGAATGATTAAACGGCAAATTTTGCATCTTGTACGGGGTCAGTTTCACGATGAGTGATAGACCTATCAGTTTGACTGGATTGACATGATGCCAACTTCAGAGCCGGTTCAAGAAGATCCAAACACATTAACTGGCTTTAACTATTCTCAGGCTTTATCGGAACTGGTGCTCACTCACGCGGTAGGGTGGTTTTATCATGAGAACTTGGCCCAAGTGTCTCTCGGTGCAAATGAACAGTGGCGTAGACTTTACAGATCCCATAGGTTGGTAAGTAAAAAAATTACAAGTTCAAAGGTGGATAAAATAGCATGTCCATCAGTTGAGCGACAGAGCAAAAGCATATCAGAAGCAGGGAATGAGATTACACCACGCTAAACGGAATAATAAGATAGTATGGTCAATGCACATTGTAAGGAACAATAGGATTGCTCACCAGTTTCACTGCTTTACGTGCGTCAGTGCGGATTATGATTCCAATGAAGCTATTTTACTGCAATACATTCCAGAGAATCCATTCATGTGATAAAGTCTAAAGAGATGAGCGCGATATATAAACGCTTTTTTGAAATTAGCTAACTTAACAGACAAGTAACTTCTGAAGTGCAATCCAGAGTTTGCAGACCGCAAGGGTGAAGCAAGTTCGTCGACAAACTATACGACTGTATTGTTGACTTACTTTCAAGCTAATGCCTCTCATGTTGATTTTCTCGCTGAGTTTCCACAGGTGACGACAAACGTGCATGGGATCGTTCAGTTTTTGTTATATCAATATTAGGTATCCACGTACCCGCCGGTAGCGTCCACTGCAAGTTTTATCAGACATTCCTGGTGCTGAAGGTGTTGTAAACGCTTTACATATTTCGTTTCCCAACGTTGTGGGATCTCGAGCGCTGCGAAGCCACATTTGTCAAGCTGCATGGCGTATTCAACATGTGGACGCACTAGGCATTTAACTACAGAGAGGTGGATGAATCCATACTTCCGAGTGACAACTGCAACAGACCAACATTCTAGTTACTTCATTTTGAAGCGGACTCAGACTATCAGGAACAGCCGAGGTAGTCCTGCGCGAGCACATCTAGGTTACATTCCTAAGAGGTGGTCTGCAGATCGTGCGTACAATGGAACAGTGATATAATACTGGTTTAAAAGAGCCGAGGCCTGGCATTTCTCGTGGGATTCTTAGTATAAGTTACCTAAGTGCAAACACGTGACAGTAGACTAAGAGGTGCATCCACGTTAACACACATGTTTATCTGTCCACCCCGGTTTCGTGTGGTTGGTGGACAAGATGTTTATCTGCGTCTTGTCGTTACTCAATGGGCGGAATTCAAATCTCGTGGTGCAGATGGTGTAATGAATCGTCGAGTCATTTTTAAACTATAGGTAGCGTGGGCGCAGAAGTGATCAAAGTCAGAAAGGATTCCAGGGCCGACACATTCGAAGAGACAAATATTTCTAGCGGTGCACGGTTTCAGCTGGTGACTACTCAGTTGTGTGTTGTGGCTATTTCAGAAGGTGGCGGCAAACGTCACCGCAATTTTCCACTATCCGATGCGCCAGAATGAAGTAAGGTCGTAGACGACGATAATTTCCGATGTACACTCCTAAAGTTTGCAGTGGCAGCCGGTTTGGCAGGTGGAACAATCCCATAGCAGTTTGGTTGACTTTTGCTGTGGACTCTCCAGTGTAGCCAGATCGCGTTTTAGCTACTGTTG